AGAGAGAGAGAGAGAGAGAGAGAGAGAGAGAGAGAGAGAGAGAGAGAGAGAGAGAGAGAGAGAGAGAGAAATAAAAAGTTGTTTACAAAGGCACGAGTGTGATCAACAGAGCCAGCTTGGTAGCACTACAGAAACGGATAGCAATATTTTGTTTCCAACAGTCGACAAAGAGGGAAATCATGGTAGAATGTGAAGGAAATGGCACAAAAATTGTACTTGGACAAAAAAGCGAACTCTTTCTATTCCCAATTTTTGTTTCCAAGAGAATCATATTCTTCTGTACTTTTCAATATTTTGTTCATCTTCAAAGTCGAAGTCTTCCGACATCCTAACCGGCTTTTACTTCTGTAGTGGTGAGACGCTTCGCCAAATATAAGACGTAGTTTCGATTCCTGAGTGGGGCGAACTTTTAAATAGTATCTGGGCTCCAGACTTATTCTGCAGCCTTTCTACTGCTTCTTGTTGGCTCCTTCTGACTGCTGTCTTTCATCCACACCCCGGATCTTATGGCAGGAAAGATCTAACGCCTAGCCTTCTCGGATAAAGGCGAAACATCTCGGAGGTCCTGTGTGCAAGTTGTGCACGTTAAAGATCCCTTGGTGATCCAAAATCGATAAGAGTAGGCGTCGACCGAAACCCGAGCAAAATTCAAAATTTCCTACCAACTGAAAATGTTTAGTGTGTCCAGCGCGCTCATATAACCTAATGCAGTTTTGCGAGCGCCGTAAAACACTTCCCAACCCCTCCCCCCCCCCCCAAAAAAAAAGACAGCACAGCAAGGGCACCCCGTCAGCTAAGTAAACGGGAGCTCAGCTTGATGTTTCGTAACAGAAATCTTTGATATCAACAGCTTAAAGAGTCCTGTTGGAATATACTTTTCTTTGATCGCAGACGTTCCCATAAATTAGTATAATAAAGGCTTACTGCACGCCAAGCGAGTTCCATTTAGAGGTTTCGGTCCTCATTTACCTGTTTCGGCTGACGAGAACATTGCCTCATTGAGCCGAGTCCATCACATGGAACATGGTCTAATTATTTCACCTACAGGGACACATCCTTTGTTTACAATATAACGCAATGCCTTTTTTGGTAAAAGTAAATTTCGGAACAACACTTCCCCAACCCAAACTCATTCTTAGTAGAAAAGCAACTTTCGTGCATTTCGTCACGACGATCCTCATTGGCCTCACAGAGATTGGAGACTGGATATTCGCACTAAGCCATGCAAAATCCGAATGCTTTATACATTGAGGATGCACCTTCTAGTTATTCGACAAAACATGAAGTCGTGCTATTTTGGGCACTTTAAAAATAAAAAAGATAGCATAAACTGTATTACTCGTACAGATTTTATCAATTAGGTTTCTCCTTTATCTGAAACTCGAAAAGGCAAGCAACAGTATTATTCATCATGTGAAATTGAAAATTCGTGTTTCTGATCATATGTTTATTATGTTTCGAAATGGCTCAATACTGCCTTTTGTCTGCTGCTGATCGGACAAACGTTTCCGCTACCTGCCTAAAGACGTACCACCTTTACGACAACTGATAACTGGCCTACCTCTACATCGACAACCATTACTCCCTCCACCTCCACCCCACCCCCCTCCCATACACACACATATACACCATTGTGTCAACCATTAACGACCCCCCAATCCAACTACCGTAAACGACCATCACTACCACCACTGTTAATTAAGATCACCATTAACCATCACTGCTACGACCACTATTAATTATCAACACTCTGACCACTTATAACTGCCTTCACTTCTACCACAATAAACTACCCCAATGCTATTACCAATTATAACTGCTTCCACTTCTACCACGGTTAACTACCACCACTATGCCCACCATAAAGCACCACCACTTTGACTACGGTACCATTAACTGCCACCCTTTTGACTATCATTTAACTTCCAACACCATGACCATCATTAACCGCCTCAAGTTACATTTCCGAATCTCCAAGTGCCAATAAACACTACCC